TAAACACGACTCTGATGGGATGCCTGGCATGTACTTATCCATGGAAATGCCCTACTTCTTCTGGGAAGCTTTTGAGAGCAAAGCCTAAGGGCTGGTCTCCTTCCCAGCTTCTATTTCCCATGCAATCACCTGTTATCTCAAAGCAAATGTAAAACAAGGGAGGAGAACCAACAAGAACTTTGCAAAATGGGGTGCTGGACAACAACTAGGCCTCCAAGGACTACAGCAACACAAATACAGAATCACAGAATGGCCAGGGTTGGGAGGGACTCAAGGATCATGAATCTTAAACCCCTGCCACATGCAGCGCCACCAACCTCCCCATTTAATACTAGACCAGGCTGCCCAGGGCTCCATCCAACCTGGCCTTGAACACCTCCAGGGACGGGGCATCCACAACCTCAAGGTAATGAGCAATTTGAAGGTTATTTTTGGCTTCGACATCTTAGTACGTATTGCAGTTGGCTTCTTTAAATCATCATGTTTTAAAACCCTCAAGGTAAGACTATCTACGGTTTCTTGTTCTCTTTCAGCACTATCAGTCCCTCATAATACCATATAATTTTATCTGATTACTGCTAATTTCACTTGTCCCACATGCTGAGACTCCCCTGGAGTAGCAGTACCATCAGCTCTCAGGCAGAAAGGTTCAACATTTGGAAAAATAAGTGAAGACTTACTGGGGGGCAAAAAAAGAAAAAAGAATCTTATGCAAAGAAATTTGGTGATGAGCATCTAAAAAAAAACACCCGCTGTTTCACCTTTGTTGAAACTTTCTGCCATGGGTAATTCAAGGCAATTTAATGTAACACCAGGGACCTAACTCTTGCTTCAATTACCTCACTGAAGAAAAAAAAAAAAAAGAAAAAAAATCTGAGGAATTATATTCTGAGGAACTAAACTACTGCAAAAGGGATTGGAGGTCACCAGTAGGCGTATGAAATCTAGGCAAATTTACATGATGTAGGAGTCCCCAGCTTTTCAGCCACTGTGTAGCTATTAAGTGAACGATCAGCGGTTCATTATATCAGTGTTGGCACGCTGTACAAAGCAGCAGATGACTGGGTAACACATTTCATGCGATTACCATGAATCAGATTTAGCTCCTGCTTTCATTGAGGGCTGCTCACCATTATCTCCTGCAGAGACTGTTTCACACATCAGCTTCAGGGAAGTGCACCAGAATGCCTCTCCCAGTAGATCCATGGGTGCAGAGAGGATGCAGAAGGAGGTTGATGGGTTGCATCTCCTCCTTCTTACTCTATCTTGGGTCTATCTTGCTCTCGTGCACAGAGGTTGTGAGGTGCTTCCTGCTCTTCCTGCTCTCGTCTTTGCCCATGTGTGCACTGATGGCGTGGATGCTGCCTTATCTTTATTCCCACTAAGCCTTGTTATCTGGACTCTGCTGCTTATTGCTTTATAGATCCCCATGTAGACATCTGGTGGCTGCACACGTGGCCTGTGATAGGAAAAAACAAAATGGAAGGGCAGTTCCCACAGACCCACAGACTTACTGCAGTGATTCCTGCCAGACCCTATATAGCCAAGACATCAAACAGTATTCCAAAACTACCAACACCTGCACATCCAAGTGGCTCTCCGGCACCAGGAGAAAGGACCAAACATAAAGCCCTGCTGCCTGCTCCGGGAGGAAGAGTAGCACCAGTGACACAGCACTCTGCTGCCCAGGAGAGCTGCTAATGGCCTTCTTTATCTCCTGGCAGAAATTGCTGGGGATTGCCATCTCCATTTTCACCCATCCTCATCTCCCATTAGTTCAATCTGCAGCGAAGGAGAAAAATAAAACATTTGCAGCACTGATAAAGATGCGCAATGCAACTTATCAAGGGTTGAAAGGCAAAATTAGGACATTGCTTGGATTTAAACATTCTCAGGCTGTCTTTGCTCAGGCTGACACCTGCACAGCTCCCACAGCAGTGTGCACCACTTGGACAGAAGGAATCATAGAATCATAGAATGGCTTTGGTTGGAAGGGACCTCAAGGATCATGAATCTCCAACTCAAATGCTGCAGGCAGGGCCACCAACCTCCATATCTAACCTAGACCAGGCTGCCCAGGGCCCCATCCAACCTGGCCTTGAACACCTGCAGAGATGAGGCATCCACAACCTCTCTGGGCAGCCTGTTCCAGCATCTCACCACTCTCACAGTAAAGAATTTCCCCCGACATCCAACCTAAATCTTCTCTCCTTCAACTTCAAGCCATTTTCCCTTGTCTTGCCGTTAATGTCATTCCTTCTCAAGCATGAAGGGAATAATCTTCCCCATCTGTTTTCCTCCCATTGCACAGCACCCCCTGAAGATCACTACACCTTTCACTTTGTTTAGATATAATGGTGACAGGAACATCGAAAAGTCCTTAGAAAAATAAATTTGCTTTGACTGTTGTAACCTAATTGCAGCCTGGAGCCCCAGTTTTCGGGTTGGATGAATAGCATGCAGGGACCCAATGTTCAACCTGGGCTTTGAGCAGCATCCCACAAAGCATTTACTTTGCTCAGACCCCAATATGATGGCGAGCGACCAACAAGTGAATCAGTGCAGTGCTGTGAATCTGTTTATCAGATAGCAACAATCATTTGTGGAAACGTCTTTTGTAGCAACAGAAGAGCCTATTTGCTGGTAGCACTGACTAATGTAAATGAGGATTAATTAATGTTTTCCTGCAGTGATGTTGGCACCGATAGTGCCTTATTCATGTAATTTAATTTCTATTGACAGGCTGCTAATGGAAACGGATAGCGATGGGTGTCTCTCCCATCAGGCACGCTCTGCCACACAAATAATTCTCCGAACTGGCAGTTGGTCTCGTTCATTGCTGGAAATGTGAGGCAGTGGAGGGAGACGACTCAGAAATGAGAAAACAAAGGGATCGTTGTTCAACCCGCAGCAATCGCTGCCCAGGTGATTGAACCAGGGTGAATTTGGGGGCTTGGGTCCAGATGGGGTCCCAAATGGTGGCTGCACACCTTTCCAGCTGGCAGGAGCACATGTAGAGAGAGTGGTGCGTAGGCAGCCCCATAGCTGCTGCCTCCATCTAAGCGTCCTTTCATCCCTGGGAACTTGTGCCTTTCCAAGGGACCTTGACTTTCTCCCAGATGTAGCCAGTCCCACACAAGGCTGACCCAACATCCTTCAGTGAGCAATGAATGACCCTATGAGGAGGCTGGAGGCCAACATGCATCGCCACTCTCCTAATGTAACTGAATGGCAGGAAAGCATCTTTCAGCATCTCTGTGTCTTCACACACCACCAAATGTCTGACACTGCAAAGCTTTTAGCTGTGAAAATCTTTCCTCAAGGTGCTCAAGGCCGTGTTTTGGGACATACTCCTGCTCATATGATGGCCAGCAGAAAAATACCTCCAACTGTGAAATGTGCCTGGTCACAAGGACTGGGTGGGGTGGAACAGGAGGTACTGACCTGCCACAACCAAGCTGCACCTCTCTGACAGACGTGAGCAGCACAAAGCAAGAGCCCCACAGCCCGTAGCTGCCCCGGATAACTCTGCTTGTCCCCACATGTCACAGCCTGCAGCTCTCCCTCTAATCTGATCACCCTCTACATGCTCACTGCTGGCATTTGCTTAATCTTCATTCCTTCACGACCCTCCATCCTTGTCCTTTCAAAGGGAGAGCAATCACCTCTGCCCTCCAGGTATGCAGATACCCCACTACAACCAAACTGCAGGCTTCTGCTGTGCTTTGTCCTGATTTCAGCAAAAACAAGGCGAGCCTGGCAGCTCAGAAAATGAAATCCTTGCCATCTCAACTCACGCGCCCAGAAATGGAGAACACAGATGTCACAGTGGGCAGTGGTGTCCAAGTGGACCAGAATGCTTCCCCACGCACTGACATGTGGGGCTTGGTGCCCCATGCTCTGGCTGATGTCAGCAAAGCCATGGCAGCCTTCTCAATGTCCTGGTAGTTGAAAACATTGTTCTGCAGAAATTTATTCCCTGCTGCCATGTGGGGTATCTCCTTGTTCTGTGAGTTTAGCTATGGAGACCAGACCTCCTTGGCTGCCACCAAATGGCAGAAATGATGCTCTCAGGGTAGTTCAAGGTAAAATGTTAATAAAAGCTGTTTGAGACCTTGGCTTTTTGCAGCCAGCAATATGATGAACTCCAGTTCCCAGGCTCATGCTCATCACAGAGGCATTTCTGTCCTTTACCATACCTTCCTGCAAGCACCTGCCTGCATGAAATCCCAAGCATCCCATCAGTGCTGGACACACAGCCCTGCCTCCTTTTCAAGAGGATGCCAGTGTGTGCTGCAGTGCAGCTCCTTGCTCCTTTAGCACACTGTGATCTGGATTGGGCCACCCTTGATGATGATCCTAAGCCTCCAAGCAGTAGGCAGGCAATGCAGCCAGCAGCACGACAGCAAGCTGAAATCCCTGCTGGGGCATGTAGGAGCACGCAGAACATTTGGTTGCTGGACAGAAAGTGCAGCTGTGTGTTTGGGATGCTCAGTACTCCTGGTCTGGGGTGTGCTCTGGCTGTGGCTCCATGTACCCCTTTTCTGGGAGCCTCATTTGGTGAAGCATTGGCACTGGTTGTCCAGGGAGGTGGTGGAGTCACTGTCTCTGGAGGTGTTCAAGAACTGAAGACGTGGCACAGAGGGACGTGATCAGTGGGCACAATGGGGGTGGGTTGGGGTTGGACTGGGTGATCTTAGTAGTCTTTTCCCACCTTAATGATTCTATGATTCTACATGATGCTATGTGAACCAACACCACCTACCATCTTCTGGGGAGCGTGCCTGCTGATCTTCCTTTCATAACAGCACTAATAGCAGTGTGCCACCCCACATCTTCACTGCCACCCCACGCAGACTTCCCATATCCATTTCACTTACAGAAGGCAATAATTACATGTTTTACATGGGAAGACACCTGTGGCATTGTTCAGCTCGGAGGTTCTGTGCCACTCTCACAGCCTGAGAGGTACACAAATAGCCTCTTTAATAAGCCCCACGTTCTGTTGGGGCGGGCAGTTGCTATGGTGAGAATTCATGGTGTGGTCAAAGCACGTGGGCAACTCAGCTCACCAGCCTGCATGTACCCAGGTAAGAATGAAACGCATTGCAGGGCAGGGGCGGAGGATGCACAGCATAGCACAGCAGGCAGCGAAGGCACTGAGCAGAGCTGCAGATGGGACCTATCTGCTCCTGCAGCCCTCAGGGCAGACTGATAGCGCATCGCTTTCTCTGCCTGCTGCATCCTCACCACGCAATGAAGGCTCCGGGGCTGTCAAACCATCAGCTCGGTTTGACAACAAACTCATTTCACATAGATGGTTACATTTAAAGAAAATAAGAGGAGGGAAAAAAGAAAGCTGTCGAAGCAGGAGAAGTCCACAGATGCTTCCTAGAAGTGAAGCGTTATTTTGCGATCTGGCACCCGTGTTTTAGCAGCCTATAAAAGGTAAAGTTGGTACTACAGCCAGCTACTTGCACCGCACAAATAGGAGCTGTGAATGTATTCTGGAAGTAATGTCACAGAGGACCAGATGGGAAATGAGCAGCACTCCTTCTAATTTAACAAAGACAGCTAACCCAGAGCGTGCATTAACATGGAGCATTTTTCGTCTGCCTCCATTCAGAACAGATTCTCGGTTCCGTTTCAAAGCGAAGGAAATTGAAGAAATACTCGTTCCATTGTGAATTACTGCTCTTTCAGAACTGAAAAGCTTTGGCATCAGGAACTAGGTGTAACATGCTTTGTCTGGAAATACATGCAAAGACACAATACACCCCATAGGTGAGAGTGCAGCCAGCTCCTGGGTGGTCAGAGAATCACAGAATCATAGAATGGTGTAGGCTGGAAAGAACCTGAAAGATCATAGAGTTCCAACCCCCTGTAGTGGACTGGTGTCAGGATTTGGGGCTCTGGGGAATGCTGCTGGCCTGCAGGGAGGGACTGCATATGGGGAACAGTGAGGGGGCTGCAAAGGACCAAAAAATGCAGTCTGCACCCAAGGCAAGAGCAGGTCCCATCCCTATCTCCATGCGCACACATGTAGGCAATGGCTTGTGCACAATCTGTGCTCTGAACTGCACTTCAAGGACTGAACACGAAGCTTGTTTGGAGGCTATCAGATCTTTGGTGTGTGCATTTTTGGCTCCTCATGGACTTCATCAAGTGGATCAAGCTCATTTGAGGGGAGGGACTTGAGTGCACAGGAATCATTGGGATTTCTTTATGTGTTTAGTAGAGCTTAGATCCTATTTTTAAACAAAGCACCATTTCCCTTCCCTCTGTTTTTTCCCCTTAAATATTTAGAAGGGATTAACTACAGAAAACAACCCACATCCTGAGCTGTTTTTCCAACTTGAATTCAGTCTTTCTGTTCATTCGTTCATTATCAGATCCTCTCTCAACTTCCAACCTCCTTCGTGCAATTCAAATAAATCCCCATTCTACCCCACTACAAACCCGAATTTTAATAACATTCTGCTTGGCAGAGCTCTGCATTTTAAACATAGCCCTTATCAGAGATGGCTGCACAGCTTCAGCTCCTTGCTGACGGGTATCTGCCCCTCTCCAGAGCACTCTTTGTCTATGGGAAAGGCACAGAGAAACCTGCACCCATTCCTAATGCAGTTCTGTCACTAATCTGGGGATCCGTGCTCCATAACAAGCAGCCAGGGTCACACTACATAACTGTCGTGTTTCCATTTGACCTTGAAAATCTGATCAAAATGCACAGCTCTGGCTGCAGAGTTGACACTGTACACAAAATGCTTTTTGCACGACCAAAGCACCTGGTTTTATGGGTCCATTCTGTTCCCCGCACTTTGCTTTGTAGAATCACTCAGCACTGTAAGTCTCTGCACTGCTCCTATGGGGTCCCTGCATTGCACCCCATAGGGTCACTCACTGCACTAACACCTTTTTTTAGTGTAGTTCACCATGGTTAAGATATATCTGGGCCTGCTGAAGGTGCTGGCAGCCTGTCTGTGAGTGAAGCAAGGTGCGTGCTTTGAGGCTTGCTCATTCGTGGCTTTGAGAGTTTATAAAGCAATACCATACAATGTGAGAGTGCTGCTGTGTGAATGTGTGGGGGATCACCAGGGCCAGGAACAAAAAGGCAGGCTGTAAAAGCCTTAACCTGCAATTATGTGTAGTTTGGTGCACCAAATTCCTCACACCCCGCACTGGTTGTTCCCTGCTCTCAGCCCCTGCAAAGCTAAGGTGCAGGTTGTGCCCCATTCATTAGGACTGGAGTGATGATTTAAAATGGTCCCTGAAATAGCCACCCTTGCTGGCTAGGGCAAAGAAAGCAGCATGAATCTTTATACGAAAGTAAGACTGATCATCTCCATCCCTCTAAAATCCTCCCTCACCCCTCCTCTCCTGGAACAAACACACTTTTTAAAAGGCTTTTAAATAATCTCATGTTCCTTAACAAAATTACAGGAGCAGTTTCCTCCTTTAATAGCACTCTTCTTCTTGGTAATCTTGTTTTAGCTACAGTTTTTGATGGGAAAGCATTGGCAGATGAATCATCTGTCACCCCTCTTAGTGTTTTGCCTGGCTCCAGGAAGGAAGATTCTCGTTTGGAGCACTGTCCCTTGTTCAGAAGAGGAAGCTCTCATTTATGCCTGCTTTTAACTAGGGGTGATAAAATTTTTATTTTAATGGCTAATCAGGGCATAAACAGATGAATTGTGACTGTGGACTCTGATCCAGCACAATGGATGGTGTGGCCCTGGCCTTGGGTCACTTCTTTCAAATGAATTGAGCTGTCTTCTGCAAGCAAGAGCATCTGCTGAGCTCCTGAGCACCTCCTTACAGACAGCACTGGAAAGCACCAGCTGAAAGAAAGGCCGAAAGCTGACCAAGATTCAGGTATTAATAGAGACACGTTATGGAAGGGTTATAAGTGTTTTGGTTCAGGAGATGGATGCCAGGTCCCCATCTTCTGAGAGCAGATTATCCAAGATAACACCGATGTCAGTAGCTTAGTCTGAACCCAAACTGAGTTTCAAGAAGGGAAACTTCTCACTGCATCTTGGATAATTCCCCTAAGAATTTCCCTTGGGAATTAGCATTGTATTGGCCGTTGGCTAGAACCAAGATACCCAGAGTGGGTTTTCTTATCATCAGTCAGACCAGTTCTGGACAGGAAGCAGGAAGGGAAAATTCTTTCAATGAATTAGACACTAGCTACTTAGGTCACAAGTGGCATCATTTACTTCATACTTTTTTTCCTGGGAATGAATGCATGGCTGGGCAGATGGTATCATCAGGAAGGTTTTGACTTGGGTGAGTATTCCAAGGAAAAGGACTGGTGATCAGAGCTAGCTTTCAATGCACACAGCAGTAGGAGCATCTCTGGGATACAAATTAATGCAGTTAGGATCTGCAAGGACTGGTTTCAAATGCAAACAGGTAAATACAAGCATCAAACACTTGGATAGAGGCATATAAACTAGGGGAAATACCATTACTCACAGGATAATCATTGGAGGGATGCTGAAGAGGACAGTGGATCACCTGATGAAATAACACACACCAGATAAAGAATGCAGTAGAAGAGATTAAAATCTTGATACATAATCAAAATGAGAATTGAATTTGACTGTAACCAAAGAGAATGAACCACTTATAACATGCAAGAGGAATGCAGCTTGGGTGAGAACGGCCACGAAACAACAGAGTTCACGAGTTGTCAGAAAGGAAGGAAGGAGAACAGCAAAATAAACACAATGGACTTCCAGAAAGCATATTTCAAAAACCTCATAGAACTGATAATCATGAGAAACAAGTCTCAGAGAAAAGGGAATTCAGGAAAGTTGGCAGCAGCTAAAAGAAACAATGGTGGTAAGGACATCAATTCAAACAATCCCAACAGAGGAGGGAAAGCAACTGTCACAAGATGATGTGCCTAAATCATCACCACTTCACTGATCCCTAACACATGAAACAGTGTCTTCGGAAAATAGAAACTAGATTCACATGCCAATGAATGTAAATGCACAGCCTGAAGGTGTGGGGACCAAATCAGGAAAGTCAAGAGAGAAAAAGAGAATCAACCAGCAGGATCAATGGGACATCAAGAAAACTTCAAATACATTAGCAGTGACATGAAGGCTGTGGGAGGAACAAAAGGGGAGGTGGTAGTGAATGATGTGAAGACAGTGGAAGTATTTACCTGCTTCAGCTTTCAGTAAAATAATCCCTTATGACAAAATGGTTACCACAGTTAGTGCTGAATGATAACAGGGAAAGAACTCAGTCTAGAAAGAAGTGAAGAGTATTTATTCGGATTAAATATTATACTCTTGTACTGCCTGTTGAAACAATCCCGTGATGGTTAGCAGCTCTCTGAGACCTCAGAGAACCACCACTGTACCAGAAGACCAGAAAAGGGAGTTGCAAACCCTTTTAAAAAGGAAGGAGCTGAAGAAAGATGCACGAAACAGCTTGGTTTGAATTGCCAGAGAAAACTGGAAAATAAATATTCTATAAATGTCTGAAAAATAACAAGGGGCTGTGTAACAGCAAAGATTTGTGAACTCAACAGCATTTTTTTTTTCCATTGGGGCAGTAGGGTATGCAAGAACTTGCAGATAAACCCATCCTTTATTGGATCATTCTGTGATTCTATGATTTTGACTCTCACATTTTATTATCATAACAAGAAGACATAATCTGAAGATCCAAGGGTAAAAACCTCTTTAGAGGATGGCAAACCAAACTGAAATCAACAGTACTGGACTTCAACAAACAAAACTGGACTTCAGCAGTATTTGGACTAGATGACCTTTTAAGGTCCCTTCCAACTCAAATGATTCTATGATCCTACAATAATATAATGCCAAAACAAACAAACAAACAAACAAACAAAAAACTTCCAAACCCAAGTCCTCCCTTCCTCTAAAAAAATACATTGAAGCAAGCACTGTGCTTGCACACACTGCCAGGAGTAATTCCTGCCTGCTGTGTGACATATGTCTTTCACCTCACTCAGACTACTGAGGTCTTACTGGAACTCTGCACACTGGACTTAAGGAAATTGAGGAACAATTGTGAAAAAACCAAAGCAGGGCCATAGGAACAATCAAGGGTGAAGAAAATATGATCTACCAAAAGACCAAAGAATAATATTTTCCATGCAAACACGAGGCATCAGGAGAAGGCACAGTGGTGGTCTTCAACTACATAAAGAGCAGCAGTAGATAGGAAGGGAACATGATGTGCTCTGCATCCATTGCAAATAGGTCAAGAAGTGGGATCAAAGAGCAGCAGTACATACAGCACCATGCATTTCCTGATGGTTTACTGCTAGAACAAGTGATCTCAGCTGAGAATTTCTGTCTGGGGATGCTTTTAAGAAAAGGTCGGATACCCATCTGTTATGCAAGAAGCAGGCACTGTTTGTTCTGCTCTGTGGAATGGGATAAACTAGATAATCTCTGGATATCCCTTCTGACCTTATTTTCTGTGATTCACACACCAGGAAAGCCATAGGTAGAGATTTCTGGCTTTTTTTGAGGATGACTGCAATGAACTCTGAGAGTGAAGGCCAGCTGCGGGTACAGCATGGCCCAGTCCATCTGAGAACTCTCAAACTTAACTGTTTTCCTGAGAATCCACAAAGACAAGGACTAGAAGAGCCGGAGCACACTGAGCCTCAGAAGTCAGACCAGCTGAGCTGGCTTTCTGCACTTTTTCCTCAGCGACCTGTTAACAGCTCACGCCCACCCACATCTTAAAACCTTTGAGCAGGGCTCTGAAATGTGGGAGGTGATCAGCTGGGAGTAACTCAGCAAGTCTGTGCCTTTGCTACGTTTCTCCCATTTCATTAATATTGTTGGCCTTCAGAACCAGCCTCTACAGACTGAAACCAACCAGCTTCAGGGGCGAGATATCACATACGCTTCTGCTGGCAGAAGACCAGGCACCAGAGCAGAAAGCTGGCCAGGCAGCAAGATTGAGATGTTGGGAAGCCACCTTCCTTCTGCTCCAGAGCCCTCAGAAACCAGTGCCAGCCCAGAGCTGGAGATAGGAAAGGGTGCTGCCAAGACCTCAGCTCCTTTCTGGCACAGCTTCCGTCAGGCATAGCTTTGCTTGCGAAGCTGGAGCCTGGAAGGCAGACAGATGCAAGCAGCACCTTGTGCCTTCTCCAGCTCGTCTTCTCTTGGACTGTGCAAGCAGCTCAACCTAAGGATACTTGCGAGTCTCCACTGGAAGGTGACTTATGACAATGTCCTTGCAGTTCAAGCCTGCTTGCTTCCATGAAGAGCATGCATATGTGTGTACACACAAGTTAAACACAATACATGAACCATCCAAATCCAGCAGGACTCTCTTCAGTCAAAGGAGAAGACACATCTTTGCCCTGCCACGTCCACAGCAAAGCTCAAAATACCTCACTCCAGCCAAGTACCGCAAAAAGAGAGAGAAATCCTCCTCTGGTTACCCTCTACCTTCCTTCCTCAGAAGCTCTCTCCATTTGTACCATTAGCCCCAGCCCTCCACACAAAGGAGGAAAGAGAGAAATTAATTCTTCACAGCTGGTTCTGTCCTGTAATGCCTTGCTCTCAGGACAGGCAGCTGTAGCCTCTCCGGCCAGAAAGGGAGGGTTAACTCCTACCCTGCCAAGTTTCAGATGGAGAAAATCCAAAATGATCTTCTTGCCTTTAAGTTTCCCAAGCGGATGCATTCTGGCCTGGATAAATGAGGTATATGTCCACATCCACGCACATGCTGACAAACTACATCCCTGTACCTCTGAAGTCTCAAAGGCAAGTGGAGAAACCCTGCCCCTTTCTAGCTCCTACTATCCTCCAGGGAGATTTTATGCAAATGATTTAATGAGCATACTTGCAAAGGATTTGCATACAGGCATAAACTTAGCAGAGCGTGAAAGCCAAAATCCTGGGCCAGAAAGCTGGGACGAGGAGGCATGGGATGCAGGAATCCCACCCTGCCTGGGGCCATGGTGAGCGGGTCCTCCCCAGCCTTTGGGACTGATGTTCTCCAGCCACATCCTTGGTGCATAATTGCAGGCTTGAGCTTAAAGTCAGGCATGAGCTTCCTCAGCCCTTCTTCAACTTTTTCCCTGTGCACAGCCCCTATTCACTAAGCGACTTACGATGGAAGGGACCTTAAAGATCACTGAGCTCCAGCTGCCTGCTGTGGGCTGGTTGCTACCCACTAGTTCCCATTTGCAGTCTAAAGGAGGAAGAGAGCAATGGGAGGGGATCTACGGGTTTTTGAGCTCAATAACCCTCGTTTTGGTGGGAAGGGAGAAAGAAAACTGCCTCAAACTTGTGCTGGACATGGGGAAATCCTGTTGACCTGCACAGAGCAGTACACAGGTGGGATGCTGCCCCAGGTGTGGTGCAAGGGATGGATCACCCAGCTCCTTCCCAGTTCATCTCATGGTCCAGCACCTGGACTCGTCGTAAAGCTCAAAGTTCATTTAATGAGAAATATTTTTGCTGTTTTTCCTTCAAATCATCTCTGTGCATAACTACAATGAAGCAGCTTTGTGTGCCTGCAGAAGAGTGAAAGTCCATAGCACCTGAACAACGGAGTTGGACTCAATGGTCCTCATGGGTCCCTTCCAGCTTGGCTTTTCTATGATTCTCTGTCAATGTTAATAAGCGCTGTGAGAGAACAGGCTGAAAATGGGGCTGCAGTACCAAAAAGAATGAACATTTCCCTAAACAGAAAGAGAGAATGCCTGGAAATAGCTGCTCCCTGCTCCTGTGACATCAGGTTACAGCAAGAAAAGGCATTTTAAATGGCACCGGAGTTTTTGAGTACCGTAGAATATTTACAAAAGCAAAAGCAAAGCACAAAAAGACCACGCGGTGTGCTCGAGGTAACAAAGCAATCGTGCGATGCAGCAGGTAACCGAGCTGGGTCTGCAGAGCCCGAGCATCTGCTCTAACTCCTGGATCATCTTTCTTCTGTATTGCATTTGCTCAGCGTGGTGATAAAAATATGTCTTCCTCCAGAGGCAGATTGACCGCGTAATGCTGAGCGCAGATGATGAGGTTTTGCGTTTGTTTATGATGATACACACAAACAAAATACCTGTCTTGCAAAATAGTTTGGCTGCCGTCCACGGTAAAATAACCATTAGGCAGAAAGCAAGCCTAAGGAGCTCCTTCCCTTCAGCCACCAGAACAAAGTAATTAAAAGCCACATGGCATCCGCCTGTCCACTTGGCAGCGGTGCTATGGGCAGGGCTATGGACCCAGCAGAGCTGATCAGCAAAAGGTGGCAACTTGGAAACATCCCATCAAACCTACATGTCCCCAACCCCCTCCCCCCCCCACCTCCTTCTACAGGCAGTTATCCCAGGGGGGAATCTTCACCAGAACGCAGTTTCAAAGAGAGGACGCACGACATAAAAGCAGTATTTGCTGCTCCACTTCAGAGAGCTACTGTTTGAGTTCAGGAGGGATAAGAGGGAAAGTCGGGGCCGCTGCCGGGGAGCAGGCGAGGTGAGCGCGGGCGGCAGCGGGGTGGGCTCAGGACGGGGGGTGAGAGCAACCAGCAGCAGCACACTGAGCCGTGGGTGGGAAAGGAGAATCAGGTCCGTAGGTGGGGAGCAGGAAGGCGAGGGGAGCGGGCGAACAAGAGGATTGGGGCTCGTGGCTCGCCAGCTGGCACGCAGCGAGCAGCTGCTGCTGTGTCAGCCCGGCCGAGGACTGCAGCTGCACGCTGGCCTTGAATAGCGGAGCAGCAGCGTGCCGGCTGGCTGCTGAAGGGACAGGAGCTCAATGGGCAGGGGGGTCTGTGAAAGGTTTGGGAGCAGGGGAACACGACAGCGCTTTGATTTCAGAGCTGTTTGTTCTGCGATTGTCCACTCTGGTGGATGAGCGGTGCTCCAGAGTTAAAATGGGGAAAGGGGGAGGGAGAGAAGCAGAAGGGAAAGTGAGGTCTTCAGTGTAGAACTGGGCTTTGAGAGCGGATCTGCAGCATGCAGATGTCTGGATGTACGGCTTTCATAGTTGTCAGCAGGGATCAGAGTCACAGGGTGCTTAAAGCAGAGGGGAAATCTCTGCGTGCTCACCGAGTGCCTCAGCCACCGCTGGAGGAGGGCAGGAGCCCAGCATCAGCCATCTGCTCCCGCACCGTGTGTTGCAATGCTGCCAGTGAGTCCAAGGCTCCCAGCAGCCCGGGGGCTTGACATGAATGTGAGCACTACAGCACAGCCAGGGTGCTCCCACCCCACGCACTGCTCCACTGCTGTCACCAATCTCATTCCGTGTGCACGCAGCATCCTTACACCTCCACAGCCGCGGGTGATCCCACTCTGTGCAGTCTTCTGCAGTTATGCACCAGCTCCTGCAGTTGTGTGGGTGCACCCACCCCGAGCACTCCACCATCAGTGCGCGTGTGTGCACCCTACGCTCTCCTACATGAGTGCGGGCACGCATTTCCCATGTGTTCTCCTACGGCCGAAGGCATACCCACCCTAAGTGCTCTCTCACAGCCACGCAGAGCCGCCCAGCTGTTTTCAC